CCCTCTGAGGCCTCTGTTGATTGATGTAAGGCCATGCAGCCACTTTGCTTATCCCATTAAGCCAGCTAGTGCAAGACCGCGATGGGTGAGACAGTAGTGCCTTGTTCACCATGGTATAAGCCAGATGACCAGGACTGTTTCAACGACTAAACAACGTGCGTTGTGGTGAATAATGCATTTTATCCCATAGCGATAAAATGAATTATGTATTCAACTGTTTTCTTCCCCGGGTCTTTCCCGATCAAACCCACACGAGGAAATTAGCTAAATGCAGTGTATCGATAGCGCAGCTGGTGTTAAAGTCAAGCAGCAGGTAGAAGTGTTACGTACCATGCACGTGATGTTGCAAAACTGTGTAGTGAAGGACTCGTGTTGTAAAATTCATGAAGGGATTTGAAAAAAAGTGCCCTAGATTTATGTTTAGGCACCATATCAACAACGTGGATGACTCTAGACTGAATTGAACTTGACAACTATTTTTTAGCGATCACAAACACAATATCATTTTCTAATTAAACAATGGGTCTTGTACTTTATAAAGAGAACTTGCATTTAACCCAGACGCCATCCAGAGTGAATTAATGGGTTATTGCTGCCCAACAGTGCCTCGTCTAAAATTAAGCATCAATTGCAGTCTCTAGTCCATAGCTGAATACTTTTAGCTGTCAGGTATAAATGATCTAGGGCTTTAGTTTTACCTCATTTGCATAACAAAGAGAATGCTACATTGTTTAAGTTCCGACATGCTGAGAATTATTCACACCCCTCTGCATGTCCAGATATTTGACCACATTTTCCGAAATGCACATGCTCCAGACATTAGATTCTGCATGTTGCTTGAGTGCAGGTATAGGCCTATGCAAATATGTACAATCCTCTAGGAGTATGTTAAGAATTTCATCATTTTGTGGAATGTCATTGTTAGTGCCTTGCTTTTAGAGCGTAGATTAAGTGCAATCGAGGAGTCTTCCTCAGTTGTTGTAAACATGGCAAAAACTAAGGAATTCAACAAAGATCTCCGCATGAGCATTGTGAATGCCCACAAAGATGCGAAAGGCTATAAAACCACATCCAAGCTCTTCGGAGTACCAATTTCCACTGTGCAGTGCATCGCCAAGAAATACCAGAAATCCAATTTATCGGCATGCATGGACAGAAAGCGAAGGTGTCTCCTCGTCTGGTTAGGAAAGTGTACTGCAAGGCCCTTTCCAACCCGACAACAACAATCAAGGTACTTCAGGACAAATTTGGTGAGATGGGCACCAAGGTTTCGGCGCAGACAATACACCGCACATTGCACAAGGAAGGGCTACATGGGCGTAGTCCAAGAAAGACCGCTCTCCTCTCTCACAGGCATCGAAAAGGTTAACTTGTATTTGCCAGAGGGTACCGAGACAAGGATCAACGTTTCTGACCATGATCAGTTATATGGCCAGAACAGACGAAAATGAAGCCGTTTGGCCACAGGCATGTTTCTTTCGTTTCGCGCAAGAAAGATGAAGCATTCAAAGAACACTGTGCCAACTGTGGGAAGACTGTGGGAGCTGGGAGCATCATGCTATGGGGTTGTTTCTCTGCAAGGGGGCCTGGCAATCTCGTAAAAGTAGAAGGAATTATGAAGGAGCAGTACATCCAGAATCTGCAGGACAATGTCAAGCAGTCTGAAGAAAATCTCCATCTAGGCCCAAACTGGGCATACCAGCAGGACAATGATCCCAAACATACGGCGATGGCAGTCAAGAAATGGTTCCAGGATAACAACGTGGAGGTGCTACCATGGCCAAGCCAAAGCCTAGACCTGAATCTCATTGAAACCTGCGGAAAACCCTCAAGTCCAAGGTGCATGTCCGTAGGCCCTCTAATCAGAACTTAGAGCTAGAGGTCCTCGCGAATTGAGAGTGGGCCAAGATTACCATGGAGCTGAGCCAAACCCTCGTGAACAGCTACACAAACCGCCTAGATACTGTAATCAAGAGCATGGACTTTGCAATTGACTATTAACTGTAATATTAACTCTTATTGATAAAGGTTATGATGGATTCTGAGCATGTTAGAATTTTAAACAATGTAGCATTCTCTTTGTTATGCGAATGAGGTAAACCCAAAACCATTAGTCTGTATACCTTAGGCCTACAGCTAAAGTATTCAACAATAACCCAGATATTGTGTGCCCACCTTTCATTCTTAAGAAAAACACAAAAACGAATAATTTATAAGGGGTGTAAATAATTTTGTAGTTTACTGTACATACGAAAACATAATGCAAACAAAAAATACATAAACATGAACAAAAAATATAAGCACTTACATAAATACAAGCTTGCCCCGAATCACGAGGTATAACAACAGGGTCTTAGTCTGGGGAATTCGAGTTATGTTTTTGTGTAATCAAATAACTCGGGGTACCAGATTTTATTCACATTTAACGCGTGAAAGGCTTATTGAGTACCGCGAACCAGTTTATCCTGCGTAGAGACATATGCTTATCCGTACAAGGGCTCCGGACCAACCTCGTCCCCGTAGTGAGTGCAGTACGTCCCCACCCCCTGCCCTATTCGAACCTATGTGGGGGAAATACCGTAACCACTGGGGACGAGGCTTTCACTGGACGCGCTGGGGAGTTGAATCATCGGCGCCAATCCACTCGAGCTGGAGTAAAAAATCCCGCGCAAACACCACTGATTCCTTGTGCCCCGTGCATGTGAAATACACCAAAAAAGACGTGTTGAGACTAAATATGGGATGGGAATGAAACTACTAAGGGTGAAGTTCACTAATTCAAGTCCCATTGAAAACAGTGTAAAATCAGCATTGTTCAGGGACCAATAACATGCATTCCAACATCCCTGAGGTTTCTGGAACACAAATTCAATTAAAATCTGTTCCCTAATCTTTCAATTTCTTTTTAATGCTTTGTGGGTTTACCAATTTACATTTTTATTTATTCCCGTGAACAAAATCCCCCGACAAGCAATTTTTCCAAGGCCTGTTTCATAAAAAACTGACTAAAATTCGCCTTGAAGTCTGTGTACAAAGTCAATGGGGAATATTCAATATTAAAAGATCAATAATAAATCACTCGATGACGTAATCAATGCCTTTTTGGAGAGGAGGAAGAAGAAGATGAAGAAAAGGAAAAACATCTGGACAAAAAAGAAGTCTTTTCGCAAAATTGCGAAAAAGCAAATGAAACATGGCACGAAACCTGAAAAACTGGCATCGGCTAAAATTCCCCTTTATGATTTTTATAGAAAATGGATTTTAGGAAGTGACGTGCATTTTGAAACCTCTGAACAGTTCTGGTGTTTTATTTCTTTAATATGCGTTTTTGCCTCATTTAAAATTAAAAAAAAATCCCAGTCCTTGAACTTGACGCCTATTTTTAATAATAATTACACCGGTTAAAGTTTAAATCCTTGATGAGTTTGAAAAGCATTCGAGTTATCAGTGTACACTCATAGTAACTATATAAAGATTTTTATTCTTTCCACATCAGTTTAAACCAGAAATTTACCTCATTAAAGCCTTTCAGAAATACTGAGATTTAAAAAATGATGCAACAAAATTGTCCTGAGCATCTTAGCGACAATGATGATTGTGATGACTAATATCAACACGAGTTCCCGTGTAAGACAACCATCATAACAAGATTATACCCACACATTGTACAAGGTTTTTTATCTCATCAAAATGATGACATTTTTCGAGTGTGCACACCCCCAAAAAAGCGACCAAAAGGGCCGCTTTTGAGTCAAGAAAAGATTTTGAGCTATTATTTGGTTCAGTTTCCTTTGAAGTAACTCCACCAGTACACCTGTACTTTCCATGGAAATCCCAAGGATGATGGATTTACCCATGCGCACCTGATACCCCCCATCTTCGGTCTTAGGGTCGGGCGACCTGAGAAATATTGGTTCTGAGGGGAAGCAGCCACTTTCAAACCACTCTTCAGGCGTTGCACTGTTTTTGTCTACATTCATTGAGCAGTTGGATTTCAACAAAGAAATTTTTTATTCATAACGGGTTTAAGCCAAATCAGTTTAAAAAACATACCAGGGTAATAATAGAAGTTTAGTATACACACATTACACAATAATGCCATTTTTACGGATTTTGTGTCTGATGTTCGAGTTTTCGTTGGCATATAATGTTTCATAGATCAGTTCGAGAGAACGGGGCAAGATTTAACCCACCACGTGCAACTGGCGTCGAAACGGCGTCGAAAATGAAAGCAGAACGCATGTTAAACCACTTACCTTCTTATGACCTACGTGTCAATACAGTTTTATCACATGTCTCAGAGGGTTCAGGATAATTTGCTGGACCATTTTGATTTGTTGTTGTTTTTTCTAGCCATGTTAAAAAACCAGATGACATTGGATATAGTGCGGCGCGGCGTACTTTTGTGTCTGCGTGGTAGCAAGGTCGTTTCAAATGCGGTAATTCTAGTTCAAAGTCCTTCACATTTCAAAACAGAGTCGAACATCTTTTTGTGTGTGTGGGGGTGTGTGTGTGGGGGGGTGGGGCTATTGAATCATGCCCCACTTTTTGTGATAAGCAAAAACATTCAAGCGGGTTGTGAAGAATTTGTAGGATTTCCCGGCGAATAAAATATTTACCATTACCACATTTACCATTTGGATGTAAAATTCTGCATGAATTTGACACACATTACAGATGTGCATCATTATCATGAACACCACCCCGTGCATAGTGTAGATGGTCACTCCCCCTTCCGTTTTCAAATTTCCATGGCAGGGCAAATCATCCCCCCACCTTTCCTCTTCCCATCAGCAGGACTGCCAGCTTGTGTTTCTGGAAGTATCGGACCAAACGGGGCCCTCGAAATTGCTCTATTTTGCAATAGAGTGAAGGCATCAATTTTCAAAATGGTGATGGGCCTCATGACCTCTTTTGGGATGATTATCGCTGGAGAGAAATATCTTCAAATTCATCGGTAAAGCCACTGAAAATTGAAAGGAAGTTAGCTTTAATTTGATATGTGTCTTGAACAACTGAGAAATTTGTATTTTTTCTAATTTTCATGAAGTGGGGGTATTAATTACTGTAGTTTATGGCAGCTTGTGTTACACCCAGGTCTGCGCATTCCCTAGGTCTTCGCTTGACATAAACTTTGACGTTGTATATGCCTTTCCTCTTTGATTTCGCAATTTGATTAATATAATTTTGTCTTCTACAGTTAGGGGCGCAGTTTTTGAAGTAATTTCAAATTTGAAAAAGCCCCCAAACGGGAACGATCAGTGAGACAAAATGTGGGACAGCCAGGCAAGGCTATATCCGAGGTGGGGAACGGGAACCATGCCCGACCCCAGCCGACAAAAACAGCACAGATTTAAAAAAGAAAAAAAGCTGATTTGCAAAATTTGTTTTACCTCTCCGCCATTCCAAGCAACGTGAACATGTACATGAAAGCCAGTGTAGCCCCACAGAAAGGCCATTAATGTTTACCTGAAAGTTTCATAACATTTCCACCCCGACAAAACAAACTTTGATCCCCGAACTGGTTCTTAGTTGCCTTGTGGACAACACAAGTAGGCCTATGCCCAAGGCTTTAACGGTTATTGTGTTCGTGGTAGGCTTCATGAATGGCGTCCTCATGAGAAGGGATTGAGACATGCTGGGCCATATGTTGGAAATGGGTGAAATAAAGCACGTAACCGTTCCATTTCCTAACTTCTAGTGTATTTACTGCGTTTGATGAACGTTGAACATATATAACACACGGGCAAAGTGTCAGCTATGTGATAAAACATGGCCTTGGTACAATTTCACTTAGTATCAGCGTCGGTGTATATATAGGATTCGTACAATAGTCGGTATGCTTCCAAAGATAAGAGGAATGGTTAATTTCAATCAAGAATACTCAAGCTTTAGCTATTCAAGTAAACAATTCCCGAGTCCGGCCCAGAGGTCCAGTCTCATATTTCTTCAATTCCTCAGTTCCATG